CCGTGGTCCCTGTGCTTCGCTGAACTTGTTCTAAGTAGGTGCTTTAGACCACTGAGCCATCTCTCCAGCCCCAGTATTTCCATTTTCTAGAGCTAAAACTAGGCACAAAGAAATTATTTGCCCAAAGTTTCACTGAGGTAGTCTTATTTTAGACAAAGTAGGCATTTAGTAAATGCTTGATACACAGTTTGAAATCTTTGAACAAAGTGTAAAAGAAAGAACTGACCATCAAAACCAGTGAGTCATACATAGTCACAAGTATCCAGTATTGAGTCCAGCTGCTTTCCATTAAGGGGATTTGCATGTAATGCCAGAGAGGGTTTGGAGCATGCTGAAGTGGATAAACAGCCTTTTGTATGTCCTTTTTATCTGTTCCTATGCAGGGAACGGTAGTAACTATGTTCAGCTGCTAACTAGTTGAGGCCCCAAACAGTCCTTTGCGTTGTTTTATGGTCTGGTCATCATTTAGCAAGTCAGCACCAGAGCCTTTTGTTCTTGAACTTGTGGTAATAGAGATTTGGTTTTCTCTCTATTCTCTCCTGAACTCCAACACAGCTAGAATATTCAGGGGTTTATGTTTGTTTTTTTTTGGCGGAACTGGAGATTGAACTTGAACTCAGGTCCTTGTGCTTGCCAGGAAGCGCTTATTCCACTGAGCCATCTCCCTCGCCCCAAGATTCATGGGTTTAAATGCTGGGTAACTTGAGGATAGTTGGGCATTTGGGGATGAAGGACCTTGATATGCAGCGTAGGAAAAAAGGACGGCAGCGGCCTGCTTGGACTGGAGCCACACTTGGTGCACAGACTTGCTTTGGTGACCCTCCGTCTCCCTCCCTTCATCCTGAGCTTCTCAGCAGGGGGATGGCGATAACTAGGCAGTGGGCAGACTGAATTATTTTTCTTAATTAGTTTTAAAAAATACTATTAAGACATCCAAATATGTTATACTTTAAAGCTAATCCAAATATGTTATACTTTTTCATCCTGAGCTTCTCAGCAGGGGGATGGCGATAACTAGGCAGTGGGCAGACTGAATTATTTTTCTTAATTAGTTTTAAAAAATACTATTAAGACATCCAAATATGTTATACTTTAAAGCTAATCCAAATATGTTATACTTTAAAGCTAATGCTTCAATGTATATCTGAAGGTAGAAGTTTGATTTTTTTGTTTTGTTGCTTGAGACAGAGTCTTACTATTTAGCCCAGCCTGGTCTCAAACTCACCGTGATTATCCTGCCTTAGCCTGCAATGCGCTGGTATTATAAGTGTGTGCTATCACACCTGCCCTTATCTTTTCTTTAAAATGACTTGGTTCTGTGTTTGCCATCCCCTCTACTCTTTGGAATATTCCCGAAATTTTGAACAGTGTTTATTTTAGGAATGGGGAGGAAAATCTTTTTATTGTAATTCTTGAGTTTGAAGGATAGGAAGCATTGCTTTCTGTAAGGCTGTTCTCCAGGTATTGGGCTAATTCAGTGGTTTCAGTCTGTAAACTCTGGACCCTGAATATGGATGAGGAGAGTAGTAGCCTGTGGTATTTTGCAAGGCATTCTTAAATTTATATCTGTAACAAGCATTTTCTATAGAAAAAAATAATTTGTTTCATGTATCATTTATAGCCATTTTTCAAATCTCTGTGGCTGTATTTCAGATTAGTGAACTACAGATTCATTTTATGTTTGTTTGGTTTTTTTTTGATGGAACTGGGGATTGAATCAGGCCCTTGCACTTGCCAGGGAAGTGCTTATTCTACTGAGCCATCTCCCTGGCCTAAAGATTCATTTTAAATTATTTCTGAATAGCCTTTTCTCATTATGTATTTTCTCAGTCTATAGAAACTGAAAGGGCGACCATGACCATCTTGGGTGACTATCATTTTTTTTTTTTTTTTTTTGCAGAACCAGGGATTGAACTCAGGCTGTTGTGCTTGCCAGGGAAGCGCTTATTCCACTGAGCCATCTCTCAGGCCCCGACTACCAATATTTTTGATATTAAAGAAAAATTCTTACATTGAGGGTTTTTAACTCTTGGTTTAGATTTTAAATTATGTTGAAATATTTTTGCATAATGCTGTATTGACTGTAATTTCTTATTAATTAAAATCGCAGCCCTTGGTCCTGTGCTATTTACCTTATTCATTCTTTTTTCTGCACAGTTAGCTTAAACATATTTATGTCTGCTTATGAGCCATTTCTTCATTCTGTGTTTTTATTTCATAATGAAAGTTAGTAGAAAGAAAAATGAGAAGGTAAAAATGTTTAGTGATCATTTATGCCCAAGTAAATTGTATGTATTCCAAAACTTTGAAATTATTTTGAAATCTTTCTTCTTACTAGCTTATTAACTTATCTGGAGTAAAATGCTATCAGTTGCTTTTTGAGGTCATCTGAAACAGAGACTTTGATTTCATAAAAGTAATCTTTTTAGCCAAGACAGATGTTTCCAACAAACAAGTGTTCTGAAGGATTATTTTGATTTTTAGTTTTTCCTTATCCTTTAAAATTTCAGCCTGAGTTTGACATGAGTTATGTTAAGCTGTCTGAAAGTATAATGCTGCTTTTCTCTTGAAAAGAAGTATAAATTTATACGGACTTTTTAGTTGCTGGTTACTATCATACCTTTGTTTTGCTATGTAGGGCCAGGCAGCTGTGGATATTAGGGAAGGCTTTCAGCACCTTATGTAATTGACCATATCTAAAAAGAAACTCTTAGCAGAAAAGTGTTATTTTTAATAGATCACTGTTTTGAGCTGTGTAAGGCTTTAGAGTAATGATATTAAGTCTCTTCACGTAAGCATAAGTTTAACGTAAATGTGAATACTAATAAAAAAACTAGAGGGCTATTTGGTAGGGGTTATCTACAGAGTATTTTAACTTATGTATTTGTATTTACTGTGCTTGTTAGCTAAGAATTCATCTCAAATGGTTTTAAGATTTTAAGTTGCTAACTGTTCACATATGGTATCATGTGTTTGTAAGTTGTATTAATTTAAAATATATGTTTTCTCATATGAAATGTTTACTTTTTATTTTTTTATTTTTTATTTATTTATTTTTTTTAGGTACAAACCTCTTTTTTTTTAAGTCAACAGAAAATGGAAATATACTTTTTTGAAATCTTAAAAAGATGACATTTGACAGTAGAAGAAAGACTGCAAGACAAGGGAAAAAGGGTAGGGGGTAAGGGAGGGGATATAGTATCAGGGAGAGTGGATTTGAACAAAGCACTATATATGTATGTATGGAAGTGACACAGAACTATTAATTTGTACAAGTAAGTAATAAATTATAAAAATAAAATAGCCATTGCTATAACTTAAGAAAATATGTGTGTGTGTGTATATATATATATATATATATATATATATGGTTTTCTGTGTTTGATATGAAAGATTTGTGATCTGTAATAGCAAAATCCTTTTAGCACTAATAAATTTCAGGGGCTAGTATTTAGGCAATCTATGTATAACAGCAAATTTGATATGTGTATAGTTGAGAAATATAAATATGGAAATATCTTTTTTGTTATTGTTTCTTGAGTTTGAATCTCACTCTGTTATCCAGGCTGGCCGCCAGCTCCTGGGCTGAAATGACCTTACTGTCTCAGTTTTCCTACTGTTGGATCTCCAGGCGTGTGCTACTGCACCTACTCTACAAGTAGACTGTTGATAATTCAAAAGGAATGAATTTGTTGGTCTCATTATAAAACAAAGCAGCAGAGCCAGCATGCTGGTGTGCTGCTGTGGCTATGTGTAAAATCCTTCGGTTTTGATCTTCCCTTGTTACATCTGCAGAAGAGACAACGTGCTAAACTGCTTTCCCTGCTACAACGGTTGTGCCCTCTCTGATTACTTCTCTTTTTTTCTAATGCAGGTCAGACCATTGTGCTCTCTCAGCCTGCTGTGGTTCAGCTTCAGGCTCCTGGGGTTCTGCCCTCTGCTCAGCCCGTCCTTGCCGTCTCTGGGGGAGCCACACAGCTGCCTAGTCATGTGGTGAATGTGGTGCCAGCGCCTGTGGTGAGCAGCCCAGTAAATGGAAAACTTTCTGTGACTAAACCTGTCCTGCAAAGCGCCACAAGAAGTGTAGGCTCAGATGTAAGTTTGAAGTGCAGTGCTTTTTGAATGCCTCATTTCAAAAAACAAAAAACACCTTTTGCATTTGTTGCCCTGTTTTTTTTTTTGAAGTTGTCATATGGCGTGAAATAAGAGTGCATTGAATTGCACATTCCATTGTTGGTGGGAAATTAGTGTGGGCTAGTTATGTCAGAATCTAAGGTTTTTAAAAGTCTGCAGTGGCTCTCTGAGCAGTAAAGTATGCATACTTCCCTTGTGTTTACTCCTTCTCTAGAACCTTCTCACACTCCGCATCTACCCCCTCAGGGTACACTGATATTGTACAGATTCTTTCATATTCCCTGATTGAAATGCTTTTAAGAATTCCCCAGATAAGAGCCTAAGTCAGGTTTTATATTTGGCTTCTCTCTTGAATTTTTGAAGTTTTCAGCACTGATAATGATGTCTTGCTACTCTGAGGAATTCTGCCTCTTCAAAATTATTCATCTTTGTGAACATTCAAATTTTCTAGCATGTTATAGGGATTTCTTGTAACTTATAAATCACAGAGTTTCCTAAGATCTGTCTCTTTCTAGCCTGTGTGTAAAACTTGCCAGGCTTTCTTTCAAAGTGACTAGAAATAGCTCATGTGGTTATTTATTCAACAGTAACTGAACATGAAGGTCCTAAAATGTAGTCGAAGTAAAATGATCAAACTAACAGAGGATTGTTTAAAATTATGATTTCTTTAAAATAAAATGGATATTCCTTGTTACTCCTTCCCTTTTTTTTGTATTGTAGGGAAGGGTCTGCAGTGTATTCAGGGTCTCACTACCAGATCGGACTTGTAAGGATTCTCCTGTTTACAGCCTCTCAAGAGCTGGGATTACAGGTGTGTGCCACCACGCCCAGTCTCAACTCCTTCCTTTCTTAAGATAAATTACTTTTAAAATGTTTTCCAAGTAAACCCCCCCCCCAAGAAAAAAAAAATCTAGTGAGTTATGGAGGTTGTTTCTAAGACTACTATCTGGTCTGCCTGCCTACCAGAATTTATTAACCAGCATATCACTGACCCATTTGTTGTGAATTTGCTCTGCTGTTCCATAAATACAAGCAAGTAATCTTAGTTGAGTGAATTATAGGACTCAAAGGAAGAAGTATTGCTGAGCAGAGCATCCAAGAGTAGAGCATCCAAGTTCTAATATAGGAGACCTGTAATTTATGTAGACATTGAAAACAGTGCAAGTCCAGACACTGAGTGCGAAAATTAGTGCCATATGAGAATACGGGACATATAAGAATTCAGGTTGAATATTTTGTTATACTATTTTCATTACTAGAATAAGAGCACAATACTTATGATGCAGTAGGTACTAACACACAGTATGTATTTTAGATAGATGGTTGTTTATTTTCTTCTTATTTTTTATATGTATTTAGTACAGGGTCTACAGGGTGGTTTATTTTAAAGTGCTCTGAAGGTGCAAAGTGAAGACAGAATAGGAAATCAAGAGTAGAAAAATATTGACAGGAATGGAGGGTGAGTGTATATAATCCTCTCATTTTGGTACATGGGGAAAATGTTTTTCTTTTCTTTTTCTTTTTCTTTTCTTTTTTTTTTTTGGTACAGGGTCTTGCTATGTAGTTCAGATTTGTAATGATTCCCCTGTCTCAGCCTACCCAGTACTGGGATTACAGGTGTGCGCCACTTCAGGGCCAGCACAGTGTGCTGGGGGTTAGGGTTGGCATGGCATGAGGCACCAGGGATCGAACCTGGGTCCTTGTGCTTGCCATGTGGGCACTTATGCTGCCCAGCAATGTTGCTAGCCCAACATGGAAAGTATTCTTAACGATAAGTCAAAGAATAGTAACAAAAATAAAGAAATTGCGCGTTATTTTCAATTAAGAAGTTGTACAACTAACAAGAAAAGAGTATGTTTTATACAGGAGACTAAAAAGGTTAAAAATGAGGAAAGAAGATTTAAAAAGAAATTTAAGGGCCGGGGAGTTGGCTTGGTGAAATAACTGTTTCCCTGGCAAGGGCAAGGGCCTGAGTTCAATCCCTGGTTCCACAGGGGAAAAAAAAAAAAAAAAAGAAAAAAAAAAAAAAAAAGAAAGAAATTTAAAAGATTCCTTAAAATTTCCATTGAATTCTACTTAAATTATGAATTTGAAAGTTTTTTATGTGATGTTCCCTATGAAATTAACAATAGAAAATATTTGAAGTTGCTCTTATGTATATGATGTTAGGACATTTAAGATATTTTTCACAAAATACTTTAGACATAAAAAAGATAAAAGCCTAATTATCTTTTAAAGTGTATAGGTCAATAGTGTGCCATAGTTGTTAAAAATATTGATGTAATCTAGGTTTGTATAAAATGATTATAACATCCCAGGCAAGGTGAAATCCAGAGAACAGAGATAGGGTGGGGAAGGTGTCTGCAAATCTCTTCATAGGTAGAAGAAAAGTTTAAGAGGTGGGATTAGGGGCTCAGGGGAATAAGGGCCTGCCTGGCAAGTGCAAAGTCCTGAGTTTGATCTCTGTAAGCACAAAAAAAAAAAAAAAAAAAAAAAAGGCTGGACCTGCAAAATAGAATGAAAGTAGACCTGCGAGCCGTCACCTGGAACATGAAATTTGAAATTTGTCAGGGCTGGGGAGATAACTCAGTGACATAGGTACCAAAAAAAAGAAAAAAAAAAAAAAAAAAAAGGAAGTTATCATGTGGAAAATTGTTTTGAGTTTGGGAGGACTTTTCTAGAGTATATGATATAGGCTAAGCTATAGAAAGGTCCTGTTTAATCTTAAGATTTTTTTTTAAAAGATAGCCATTATATTTAGACTAGAAGAAGACAGTATCCAAATAATAAGCATCTGAACATTGGTGATCATTTTATGCTACTAATTTTATAATTTTGAAACATATTTCAGTTAATTATATGTTAGTCAAATAGCCAGATATCTTTTATTGGTTCATTCATGTGAAAGATGATGTCTCTTCTGCTTTTGCATTCTTAAGAGGGCTCTGAAAATTTGTGGAGTAATTTTCCAGCAAAGTCTCAGTTAAGACTGAGGACATGAAGAATGAGGAAGTATAGTACTGATAAATATTAGTTTTCGGTTTTGACAATACTTACTCTACATTCTTACTATTTTTCAAAATGTAGAGTTCACAGTATTATAAAAGATTGAAGTGGTCTGTGTTTAGTACAAGAGGCTTAAAGAGTATTAGAATGATTTTCTAGTCAACTTGCATTGAGGCTTTGTTCTTATTTTTACTTGCCAGCATATTACAAAGTGAGCCAAGCCTTGTCTGTGTGAGTTTTTTGGTAGAGGCTATGATGGAATATTTGTTGAAGCATCAGTCTGTCCTATCAGCTGGCCAACCCAAAGTAACCCCAAAACACGAAGTAAATCTCTTCCAAAAGGAGCTGTAGAAGAGAACTTTGTTCTGCTCATACAGTCTCTGTTAGTAACTTGGTTGACCTCAACAGTGCATGTGTTTGTTAGTCTTAAGTCTTGTTAAATTAGGATAAATTTGAATTAATATAAATTCCTAATTCCAAGTGGTAAAAAAACAAATTATGCATTTATTGTGCTTTTACGCCAAAAGTGTGGTGAAAAACTTAAAATTCAACAGAAGTATTGCCGGATGTGGTGGCACACGCCTATAATCCCAGCATGCAGAGGCAGGAGGAGTGTGGTGAGTTGGAGACCAGCATGGGCTACAAAGTGAGCTTAAGGCCACCCTGAATTGCATAGTGAGACCCTGTCTCAAAAAGACAAAAAAAA